TTTTTTTTTTTTTTTTCCAGAATCCTTCACATTTCTGACCCACTTTTTTTCTTGAGCTCACAGGAGTTACTGTTCTTTCTTCTGCATTTTATCTTTCACTTCTTAAGATTGCAGATGAAGGTGGGCGAATCACAAGGCCACTAGTCCTGCCGCTACTTCTCCTTGACACTAGATGAGAGGAACAGTGCAGTGGAAACAGCAAGGGACCCCGCTGTCCTTCCCTTCTGCTCTCATTTCCCCGGACATGACCGTGCTCCCGGCCATTTAGACAGAATGGGACATTCTCATAAAGGTCTCTTAGACCTGGCTTACGACCACAGTCCAGCTCACTCATCCTCTGGGGCTAGCACACAACAAACAGGTATATTCAGAGGTCAGTCTACTGCTAAATGAATGGTTACATTTATTAGCACTAGGAGTTGTTAAGTGCCAAATGTCTGAAACACGAACAACAAGCAACACGGGAATAGATGCACTTACTTTTCTCATTGGGGAAGGAGTATGATCAACTTCCATGGACTCCACTCTGTTAAATACAGGGTGAAATCATTAACTGAGCCCAGAACTTGGCTGTAATTAAACACCATCAATTCAAACACACCTACACCTAATGAGACCATGTATCAATGTCTAAATCGTCCATTAGTTTCATGATGCTGTCAGCTTTGTCACTTACAGATTAGATCTTTCCTTCCTAAAACCCTTTCCTGGTTCCTGTTTGTGAAACCAAATGCAAGCCTGTCTCCAGAATGGGGGACACTGTGGGTCTGGCCCTGGCTGCTCCTCTTCAAGTGATATGCCCTAGCCACTACTCCGCTGCCCCTCTGCACAAACTTCTTCTCCCTACAGACTATCCCTCCTCTCTGCTCTTCTGACTCCTGCCCAGAGGCACCAGACTAGAATCTCCTGAGAGAAGGAACACTGTATTCACTTTGCTAATACCTACTGCCTGGCCCGCACTGTCGATACACTTCAGCCCAAAGGGTGGTAGGGAAACAGCATTTGGGTTTGTTTTCTAGCTGGCTATCTCCTAGCCTGGAATCCTTACAGCCAGTGACCTCAGAGTCCCTTTTCCGGTAGCTCCTATAGGAGTCTCAGGTATCACTTTCTAAGTCCAACCTGGGTATAATGAATTCTTACAGTCTTCAACTTAACATGATATGACTAATGATTTTTTGACTTCACAATAGTGAGAAGGGATAAACATTCAGTAGAAATAATACTTTTAACTTTGAGATATTCAACACTACTATCAAGTAGGCCTTGTGTTAGATGATTTTGGCCAACTGTAGGCTAATATAAGTGTTCTGAGGTTGGTTAGGCTGAGCTATGATGTTTGCTAGGTTAGGTGTGTTTTTGCACAATTTATGATAGGTCTATCAGGATGTAGCCCCATTATAAGTTGAGCAGCATCTGTATTTTCATATTGCCTTGGCACTTATTGTGACTATAATTTTAACATTCTCATACTAGAAGTAGGGTCCTTGACAGTATCCAGTTTTCTGCCTCCTCCCACTTCCTCAATACGCCTGATCCAGACACCTGCCTTTCACAACCACCCTCTGGTGACCACCTCCCTGTGGGACAGCTAGACCCCCTCACACTCTACCATGGACTGTACAGATGTGCCACAATGACCACCTCTCAGTCACAGTGTGGCCACTCACAGGATGTGTGCCTGTTTATACTAAACCCACCAATAAAACTTCTCATGGGAAACCTGGTTGGTTGAATAATGTTCTGGACCCCAGTGGAGGCATGGGTCATGGGTCTCTCTCTCTTCCTGATTCTTCGGTTTGGCCTTGTATGAACTGGGGATAAGGAATACTCTCCTGACTTGTTACATTCTCTCTGCCCAGGATTTCTAAGTAATATCTTTAAACTCGTTTCTTATGGTGGTTGGTACACTGAATTTTTGCCTTCCATCTGAAGAACTAGGGGCTATCCCAGATTGGGTTTTCTCTAGGACCCAGAGAAGAATACAGTGTTGGGCTCCTAGTACCAGAGCAATGGTCAGGCACGTATAAACTGGACATGGGTCAAACAAGAGCCATGAGGGCATCTGCCAGTATAAAGACATTTCCTGAGTGACAGGCCCATGGTCAAGGGTTTGACAAGTAGGCATTAGGCTGTCCATCAGGTAAAAGTATCCAGTGAAAGACACACTGTGAATATCCATGACAGGATCCTCTTTATTTCCCATTTTTATTGGGGGTTGCTAGCCACTCTGGTTTTAGAATCTCAATTTAACTGGGGGCTCCCAAAATACTGGGACACATAATTATTCCCAAACCAATCACTGTGGCCACAGGGATGACGTGGCTGGTCAGCTTGGATCACATACTTGATTTGGAGATCTGAGTCTCTGGGACATAAGAAAAGTACTAAAGGGAGCTGGACACCTAGGGAATTATCCAGTATCTGGGACAGTGGGATTTGAGGATCTGGAAACAGGATGGAGTGGAAAGGAGGTATAGAAGCATCCATAGGAAGCACTACAGACCCCATGATTTTTGTAGACCTTTACACTATTCCACTAGGTGCACACACCTGTCAGGAGCTGATGAGTGAGGTGGCAGCAACTGATATCCATTCAACTTTGCTGAAGGAGCTATGATAAAAAAATCTTAGTATCAGTGCATATTCAGTATGAATCTGCAGCATGTATCTGTACATTCTGCCCCTTTCCAGCACTAGTTTACTTACTTGAAACTGAATTTTTTATTGTGTTCAAAGTTGTTTGTTGGGATGATCTTATACTAAATAGAAGAAAAGGTAATAAATTAAACCATAAACGTTTACTTCCCATTAATTCACTCCAGTTTTAAGTACACAAAGGCTTTGACACAGCCAAATAGTCCCACTGGGCTTAAAAAGGCCTCTTCATGTGAATTCCACAGCTCTTCAGGGTGGTCTGTGAATCTGACTGCCTGTCCCTCCCAAACTCTGAAAGCAAAATGAAACAACTCTCAATAAAATTTATGTGACTGGTCTTACAACTGCAATTGGTACTGGACATATGGCCACTAGCAGGTGTTGACTTTGAAATGAAGACAACAGGAGCTACTACTACACCAGTTTCTGAAGGGCAGATGCAGATCCCTGGTTACTTGGTAATCTTTCTGGTCACCATCTCCATGACAGCAGGGAGCAGAGGAAGCCCTGCCTGAGATCTGGAGCCCAGAACCCCAGCTCAGGCATGCTGTCAGAGGACTTACAGTCACAGGTGGCTGCTGGGCCCTGGTCCTCCTGTCTCTCTCACAAGCCTGATGGATATGCTGAGATGTGTTTGGAAAGTGGGTGAATCGTCTCTTTTTTCCACAGACACACGCAAGGTGCATGAATGATGCAGACAAGGAGGGCTGAGCTGTCTCTTCTGTACCACTGAGCACCTGCCAATGCTAACTAGGCTCGAACTGGCATCTGCGATATGGAACAGTCTATGCCCCCAATAAGCCCTGTTTAGGATCAGACTAGCTAAGAACAGGTAACTGCCATAACTCAGGTGACTTGGGTCTCTGCTCTGAGATCACCTCTGAGAGCCCTCCCTGGTACTTATCACTAAGTGCTCAAAATAGACCTTAACTTCTGCATGTGGCAGGCCTGTGGCCTAGATCCTCTGAAAGACACTCTTGTTTCCAAATGACTCAAAAACACACTTTGTTATATTCTGGGCTAGTAGATAGGGTGAGTACTCGAGCTCCTCTACAAAAGATAGTTATCAACAGAAATGCAGCAATAGTAACACCATCACCACAGTGAACGCTGCACTGATGACTCATCGTCCGGTGGGGAAGGCGGGGGTGAGTGGGGGTGGTGGGCAAAAGTGGTCTTCAGCAAGTAAGTTAGGCCGCAGAGCCCATAGGAAGCCTTCCTAGAGGAAAACACAGGTGATAACCAGGTGCGTACAGAGTTATGTTAACTGAATTATGGCATGTTCTTGATTCCAAATTCCAAAGACATTAAATGCAAAAGAAAGAAAAAAGAAAAATAAAAAAAAACATCCAAAGTAGATACAATATGGTAAAAGCACCAATGAGCTAAAATGGACAAGAAATAAGAATTGAAATGGCTAGATTTTCCAGCTATTGAAATGTTTTTGTCACTATTTCCAGTTAACTCCAGCAACTTCGATGTGTCTTCCTAAAATGTACCTACTACTCAGGTAAGTGCCCTTGTAAATAGAACATGCCCCACAGATGGGCCTCTCACACACAGCTATGATTCCTGGCAGAATAGAAGCCACCTGGCTATGGTGGGGTCCCACTGTCCCTGAGTCAGAGCCTCCTTGCTTGTACTGAGGTCACTCAGAAGGGTCTGTGGTGCTAGTTGTACTCTCACTAATGCAAGAATCACCGGAGAGACCCCCTCCTAAGAGAAACCACTCATCTTTTTTCACTTTCTTTTTTGCTCCCCTTCCCTTCCCTTCAGCTTTTCCATAGCCTTTTCTGTTTTGAGAGAAGTTTCTAGAAAGTAAAAGTTGTCTTTCCTCTGCTCCTGCAGTAATATTTCTCAACCTTAGAAAGCCAAATATACAAATACAGTGTCTTTTGATCTGCTTCTTTGTACACTTGAGGGGAAGCTTACCTTTGCAGCCGTTCTATCTGTAGCACTGACTTCTTAAGAGAGTCTTCCAACTTAGAAATCTGAGCATAATCAGATAACTTCTAGTTATCAAATAGGTATCTCAACTGACAGTTTAAAGAAGACATCTTGACCCTCTATACTCCTAAACCATGAATCAGAATGTGAGTTATTTATTCAACATGAAAGTTGCCTTAATGCAACTTTTTTTTTTTTGAGAGGTTTTTGCTATAGGACACGTGTGCTCACCAGAAAGACAGAGAGAGACATAGAGACAGAAAGCGAGAAATCATCCCTTGGGGGGATGGCCACGCTGCAATCCCTTCTCCTCCATTCTCCTCTCGGGATCTTGGGCATACATGCACATGCGCCCGACATGAGTTTAAGCCACTGGGTCCAGGACTCGAAACACGGTCAACTACACAGGAGTTCAGTGACACAGCCATTACGCCAACTGCTGGTCTCCCTTAATGCAACTTTTTATGATTAAATTTGCATCAAGTCTCATAAGGTACCTTGGGAATTGGAATTAGAGGTTACCAGTGCACAGATAAACCAGTCTCATGCCCAGCATCCTCCATGAAGTAGCACAATGCTATGATGGCCAAGCAGAAGCCCAAATAAGCATCAGCCCTGCCAGGTGTCCATTCGAGGACTCCGGCCTCAAAGCCTAAGACACATGGTACTGACTTATACCTAGGAAACCTCAAAAGCACAGTTCTTGCAATACTGTCAGAGTTTGGATTCTGGCCCTGCCACCTAGAGGAACTAACGTAAATTCTTTGATCCTATGGTTTGTCTGTAAAATGTGGTTAATACTACATGTCCTCTAGGTTTTGTGTGAAGATTAAGAAGATACATACAGGAACCAGCAAGTGATATGGTGATTAAGGCACTGGATTCCCACATGGCTTTAGTCCTGGACCTGGCAGCTTGAAAATCACATTGGGCATGTGTGTGTGTGTGTGTGTGTGTGTGTGTGCCCCAAATCCTAGGAGAACAGAGGAGGAAGGATTTCGGCATGGGTGTTTGTTTTTCCAGGTATAAGGGCATTGTCACTGTCCCTTCTGACCATCAGCCTTTTTGCTGGACATTGTCTTTGATTCACCAAGCAGCTTCTCAGGGTATGGTACAAGGCTACCCAAAACAGGCCACCCACTTGGGGCCCTCAGGGGCTGATTTGTCACTTTCCCTCTTACTGTCACTCTCTGTTTCTCCAGTGAACATGCATGCCCTATGCAAAAACCTAAGAAAAAAAAGACACACACATACACACAAACAAAATGCCCAAAGTTTGCCACGTGGCAGAAAACCTTTGGGCAGGATTCTGGGCAGCTACCAGGGAGTCAGATGAGGTTGTGGTGGGATAAGGAGCAGAGGACAGATTGGGAGGCTCGGGTGACACGCAGGATGCAGGGTGACTTGTGGGAAAGGAAAAAGATGAAGCCAGTGGCGATATCCCCTCCATGCTTGGCTGTCTGCAGAAACCAAGACCCTTTCCAACCTCATCCCACCCTTTTTTTAAAGAGCTTTTATTGAGGGAAAAAAAAAAGATGGTTGTGTGGAGAAGCCTCTGAGCTACCTCCTTGCCAGATGAGGGGGAGGGCACTGGAGCTGGTGGTCATGTATGGGGGAGCCCCAAGTGGGTGGCCTGTTTTGAGTAGCCTTGTGGTACCATACTATGAGAAGCTGCTTGGTGAATCAAAGACAATG